ATATACACAAAAGCGATAGTAGAGGTCCAAAAGTAGCAGGATGAAATCGAAACCCACCGTGTTTACACATGGCACACAACACTTTCCAGCTTCCTGTTAAGCGTCACAAAGATAAAGAATTTTGACGTGCGTTCGATACACATAACTGGAATATATTTAGAAATATAATACAAGTAACACATATTCAAAAGTAATAAGTTGATACCTTGACTTAAATCTAATAAATAGTTAATTGTGAACCATGTGTAAACACAATATCTACAAGTCATGAATATCATCACTCCGGTTCCCTCTTTCTTTAGCAGGAGCAGAGAAACAGGAAAGACAACTCAATCATGCTCACTACATAGAGTTGCCGTCCTTGCATCTGGTGGCTTATATTACCTTATCACGCAGGGACGGGAACCACGAGTATAGATTGTTATATTATATAGTGTAGCTTCAATTAATCAATATAAGGTTACAATTAATTAGTATTATACAGTACATGTCATACAGTTTCTAAAGCTTCGCAATGTACTCATAATATATATATGTGACGATCTTATATTTATTTGGATTACGTATGTAAAAATATCTTACCATATAGAGTAAAAATATGAAGTGAGATACTTGCTTACGACTCTCAGAACGGCAGTTAGATATACCCTTTAGTTGGTGTTGTTACACAGGTTATCACATACTATTGAATATACGATATTCATACCAGGAGTGGACACATTTGCTCTTATTTCTAAAAAAAAATAAAAAAAATCTTTGTATGCATACTGCATAGATATATATACACATGTATGTAAAGTCAGGTCATAAAATTATACGGTATTCCCGGAACAAGGGAAGGATAAATCTAAATTTAACAAGAGTTGTCGTCCCTTTAAGGAACAGGGAGGTAACTCCGGACATATACCGCTGCCAAACATGAATTGGCCAACATCATATAGTATCACGTGTTCGTCACAAAATTATAAGCACAAAGCAGTACTGTTCATAATGAAATAAGTATGGTACACAGTAATTGTCACTATAGTATGTATCATCCACGTCATACCAATATCTATTTGTATCGTATCTTTTTACTCTTATAAGCTATAATTACAGAAGATATTCAATCAATGGCTCGATTTCTTACATAATTATCCAATTATGTTTCATGTAAACTATGAGAAATATTGTATCAGGCTTACGTACGTATCTCAAAGTCATATATATGTGAAGTTTGAACAGCTTCTAGACTTGCTTAAGTCACCCGCTTGCTAATATTGCACGTGCATGAACACTGGTAACACACTGCGTAAACGTACGTTTATAGGAAGATATTTAGTAAACAAACTCATAATATATTCATAAATAAAGTGGTATTGAACAAGTAAGTAACTGGATATGCGATCAGAGACGTATATATTACATTTACGTAACGGGGACGAGAATCAATACATGAAGTATGGCGTTTACGCATGTGATATTCATATACAATGTATTATTTATACATATACACACACTATATAAGCTAATAACCGTGGTATATCTCGTGTGTTTTTCATATATATTTTAAATTGAGCACCTTCATATTACATATAAATACATAAATACACATTACAAACAGCTTACGATCGTGTTATAAACTTATTCAAGTTACATTTTATGAAGAAAATGGACTTTTTGAATTTTCGCCATGGATATTTTAATAACATACATTTGTACTATGGAATAATGTCAACAAAACCATGTACGCGTGTATAGTACAGCTACGCTTTGTAGTTAGGACATCATTTTACATTATATTTATGAATTGTTTTACCCTCCAAATGGCACTTGTGTTTTTATATATTATTTGAATACAAACAAATTATGCCGAAATACAAAATATTTTGGATTGTTGCGTCAGAATGAAAAGGGCAAATGACCTGTTATTATCGCAAAGACATTACAGAACATGCTGGAAAAATCATCGTCGAGGAAAGACTCATTTGTTTTAAATGAAGGACTGCAGCACTTAGTAATGAACGCAATATACGTATAAGACATGCAATTCGAAATTTATATGTAATTTTACCATTCCAAGGTGCAGGAAGAACAAGACCAAGAAGGTGCTTTAAACAAAAAAAAATGTAACGGCATGACGTAGGCAGTAGTAATGAAAATTAAATCCTTTTAAACTTGTTGGTATTGATTATACGATCCATCCGTATTTTATAAGTAGGTATGTAATAAAAGGAATCAAACATGCCTTTTTCAATATGACATCCAGTATCAACCCTCGACCAATATCAGCCCTCGGGCTGATATTAGAGTCTCGTGTTAATACTGAGTGTGCTATGAAAAAGGCATGTATTATTCTCGATTTTCATATTTGACCCATGTGACATTGAATATGGGTGAAGGTCATTTATTTGAACAAAATGATAGCCTTTCATCCCAGTTTGCTTCTGGCCAAATATCATCATTCTAGGCCTTTTGGTAAATAAGGAGAAGTTGTTTAAATTAAAGTATTGACGCCGGACAACGGACGGACGCCTGAAGCCGGGCCACGGCATACACTCACTTCTCCCTTCGGGCCAGTTGAGCTGATAAAAAATAAGTCGTGGAATGAACACGCGAGCGCGGGAGTTTGTATACTGATTACTTACCGTGGCAGGTTCTTGGTGCTCCGTGCGAGTTCGTATTAATCCGTGCCAGACCGTTCTAAATCGTGCTAACACGTAGTAAACTATACCGAACCGTAGCAATCCGTATCACTCCCCGTTGCCAACTAACTTAGACCCTATCCGTAGTCAAACCGTGGTGCATATTCCGGGGTCATTCGTGAGATTCCATCCGTAGTGGATCCGGATAGACGATCCGTGAATGTGAATGTGTGACCGGCGTAGAATCAGTTAACTGAGGACGCGGCGGACTTTTTTCCGAGGAAACCCTCTTCACATTGAAGAGATGGGTATTTTATATATTTGTAATTATGTTGAATAATGAGATAAACTGATATTTTGATAATATATATATATATATATTGAATACAACAGGTGTAATGTAGACATATTCAACTATCATAACTAATAATGAATGTGACTGGCTACGGCTAGGGATATGTTTGACATGTTTTATCTCATCGTGTGAGGGTATGAATGTTTGTACATTCTGTATCATTATGTATAGTTATATGATGTCTTCCATGTTATGATGAATACATCTCAAACATTTTTCCTCGCATGAAAAAAGATGGGACGGTCCGTATCATCCTACAGTTAAGCTCTCTAAACGAGTTTGTCGAACATCACCATTTTAAAATGGACACTTTAAAACCGGCCATTGTATTGATGAGAACAGATTGTTTCTTTACCTCAGTAGATTTAAAAGACGCTTATTATTCGATCTCGGTGGCTGAACGAGATAGATACTTTATGATAATTTACTGCGATGATCAATTATACCAGTTCACTTGTCTCTGGAATGGGTTGTCTTGTGCACCACGTGCATTCACAAAAAATCATGAAATGCGTGTTTTCTACATTACGAAAGTTAACATTCTATGCCATCATATATCGACGTTTTGTTATAGTACTTACATAATAGTTTTCTACTTTGTTCAGGTTATGAGTTGATAATTCCAGTAAACTGAATAGATTTCAGTCTGTTGTTAGGATCAAGTCGACAGTCGCCATGAAAAATAATACCGTTACCGAAAAATGGCGTGTTTGCTCGTAACAGTTGTAGAGAACAGCTCGCTTTGGATTTCAACAACGCAATTTTTAATTGTTTCCGACTTGTTAGATAGAAATCGATTGCGGGTAAAAACAACCGCGTTAAGAAGTGTTGGGTGATGATCAATGTTGACTGTAAATATAATGGTGTAATGCCATCACATAAAGTTGATTGTATGATTACCAAATTATATCATATAACGGGAAAATGGCATAATATAATGTATATTATGACAATGTCGCATCACGGAATATACGAATGTCATCACATAATGATGATAACATATCTTATCACTCTTTTTACAAGTGATTGGTAAGAAGTGCATCACGTGTTCACCGATAAAACCGATATTGTCTTGGGGAAATAATTCTTACATTACTGTTTTGAAATTTTAAAACAGTTGTAGCCTGTTAACCTCGGGTCAGGTATCGACCTCAGCCAAAGTCTATAATTGAATATTATAATTAAACTGTTTAATATGACAGCCATGACATTTCAACATATGAACAGCTTACTTGAACTTCCCTAAAACTTGGAATTTTGGACAACGATATAATTATACTCACCGTTTAAGCAACATTGACTCAATTTAAATGATACAAAATGAAATTACTAAATATTATCGCATATCATGCATAATGCATATCCCTATATTATCTTTCTGTGTGGCAACGTTCTATAGTCCTTCTATGAGAAGATTAATTTAACTGCAACTGTATGCAAACATAGCCTTCGCACTGCTGCTACGATTGCATGAATACACGCTCGGAAAATAGTTTTTTAAAACATTTTATCTGTGACACATGTTGCAGCTATACAAGTATACATCTATGGAGTTTTTTGTTTAAATTTATTCTCTGATCTACGTTTTTATGGCTGTCTCGGTTGAGGAAAATATATGGAACATTTTTTATGAAATAAATACCTGTACTTTGTTACATGGTAGACAGATTAAATGGGGAAATATCCTCTTTATCATTCATTTTTACCTGTTGTCTTCGTTTTTGGGGTCGCTTACAGAATAGTTTAAGCATGGAAACCCGAAATAAACGTCAATGATCTTTCAGCATGTTTTACTGTTCTGTTATTAAACTGATAGTTCGGTGATATTTTCTAGTTTACATTGAAGAGATAAAATTCCGGAAGTCAGTTATTTTTTTTGACACAAAATGTTGTTGATTGATGAATGGGTCGGCAGGAAATTGTACGTAATTAATCCTGTTTTAATATTTAAATGTAGATAAAACTACCAACCTTTTAAATTATTAAGTGTTGGCATTGTGAAAATTGGCAATTAGAAGGGATTACAAGTCAACTGTAAAATGCATATCGAATTATCTTAAAAGAAATAGGTAGTTGCTTTTACATATAATAATATAATGTGGTATGAAACCCGCTGCGTCTCAACTATTTTATACCAAGACTGTGTTTGTTTGTTAGGATGGATGGTTATACGTCCGCTTCACTACTGAGTAATTTGGATCGAACTCAGACGATATTTAGCCAGAAGTTATTTGTTTGTTTGAGTGTTTTACATCGGCTTCACTACCGAGTAATTCGGTTATTTAGCAGACAAAACATTTTCAGATAATCCACACCAGTAAATATACATACATTTGACGATGACGGTGACCTCACTAGATGTCTGACTCCCGTATTCGTTACTGGCCGTACACCTGTATTCGCCCGTCTGACCACGTTGTATGTTGTTGAGATGAAGACCTGACCCTGTTGTGTGGGACTGTCCATTCTTTGTCCATCTGTAGGTACAGACTGGGTTACAGTCAGACGAACACGTGACGGTAGAGATAGTTTGTCTTTCTGTTAAAGTGTAGGATGTAGCTGGTGGTGACAAACCCGCAGCTGATGGACCGTCTAAAATAATAAAATAATCACCATACATATTGTACGAGAAGTCTTTGCTTTTGTCCTATTTAATCTGTTTGCGGATATAATCCAATCTCATTCTTCATGGTCAATTTTGTCCACACACAGATGGCCCTCTCTACCTGTTATAGGTGTTCGCTGTTAATCTAAATAGAACAAATCATATTGCTTTTTGACATTTTGAAACCTAAACTGAACTGTTCTGTAACAATATCATTTTTAAGGAAAATTCATTATGTAACGTTTCCCCTATATTTTGCACCAGTCACACTAGATATTCCGGCGAGTATACTTACCTCAACGGGGTGGTTCAATATTCTAGTATAGATGCCAATATATACAGATAAGTTAATCTAGCTCTGAAACATTGCCTATGTCCGAGCAATCACTACTTGTGATCATGTACGTTTTGTACTAATAAATACATACTGGGGATATATACAAAGCATTGTTATTGTAACAGTAACTGCAAAAAGCCTATGTATAGAACAATAAAAAACCTATTACTAATCTACATTAGCGTTCCTTCCACTGATCGCTCAGAACGTGCTTATATGCAAACACGCGGTCGAACGCTCGCTGACCTCTCACTTCTCGACCACCCTTCCTGTTCTCTGGCGATAGCTCGGATAGCTCAGTACGGCATATGTCTCGCTACAATGTTAGCTCGGCAGCACTATATGTACCTATATTGTACAATCTATAGAACTCCTCTTTCTAACCTTGAGTTACCCTGACCATTCGGTGGTCCCTATAACTCCATATAGCCATCTAACGAGCTCTCACAGTGCCCTTGATCTATTAATGTAGCTGACTCGAAGCAACAGTATAGCTCGCCCTCGTAAGGTATGATACTTTCGATTGAGCGATCGTAATGGGTAACAGTCTTATTCAGACATACCCCGTCATTGAAATCTCGCTCTTTAGTATACTTACAACTAGCAGGTAATGGTTTGCTCTCTTGTAGCTTCCGACGCTGAATGGCGGTGCACGCTGGCCGAGTGGTCGTTGCCTTGACCGACAGGCCGATAGACAGTGGCCGGATGGCGATGCACGCGCGTTTTGGCCGGCTTATATACTCATAGGCCGCGCCCTAGCTGTCAATCACACGAGATTGTCCCCATCACCTAATTGTTTTGACCGGGGCTAGGTCACTGCCAGCTCTACTCTATGGTGTACATTGCACAGGAACACGACGGTTTACAAATAAAAACTACTCTGTAGATTCATCATAATAAGAATAACTTCTTATCATTTCTTCATTACTGTGTAGTTTTTGCAGAAATATTTTTTGCAAACGGACATTAACCTTATGACTTAAAAGTTTAAACATCTGACAGATGTGGAGTAACAACGCAAGTGAAGTGTTAAAATCATACGTCATTCTAATGTTAATTCAACATTAAATCAGGTTTGAAAATATAAAACTTCAACATAATGTCGCAACAATTTTGAATACTTTTACTATAAATGAATGGTCAGTTTAATATTATTATAGCGTTTAGGCTATTTCAAAATTATATCAAAATTCTTATCCTGTGAACATTGCCAACGTGTATCTGACGCTCAGTCCTATTGTGAAAAAGCATAATGTTATACTGAAATTCGAATTTTAAGTTGTATAAAGGTAAAAGCAAGAGATCCCAGAGGGATTTTGGCGCCCACCATTGTACAATCTTCATTTGTTTTATGTCAGTTCTCTTCCTTTCTCTTATCTGCTTTATCAGTTTGACTGTCCGCCATCTTAATCAATCTTTTTATCAACCTCAAAAGTACACATGCAAAACTCAGGACCGGGGGAATCTATATATCAAATTTGAGAAATATTCATCCAGTAAACTCTGAGAAAAGGCGATAACAAACTTAGTCTGCAACAAGATAGCCGGCCGATATGATTTGATATGCATAACAAAGAACAAGTGAAATTTGAGAAAGATCCCTCCAATACTTTTTGAGCAATAAGGTTTAACAACTAATACGCCCAAATTAAATATGACCACCTCACAGCCATCTTGTTTTATCAATCATCCCCAAGATTTGAAATGCGGAACAAGAAACCATTTGGACCATATACAATTTGAGAAAGACCCTCAAAAACTATCTGAAAAACAGCGCTAGTAAACTAGTTCCTAAATTCAAGATGGCTGCCTGTCTGTCATTTTGGTATTTTGATAAATCCCAAAAGACAATATGCATAACTATGGATCATGGGGAACTTTCATGCGAAATTTTAGAAAGATCCCTCCAGTTTATCACGACAAATAGCGCTAACAAACGTTAACTTTCAAATTAAATATTGCTGCCTGTCGGCCATTTTGGTTTCAATCCCAAAACACGATATGCATAACTAGGGATCATGGGGAACCTTTCAGTACTTTCTGAGAAATAGCGCTAACAAGAATTGTTGAACGGACGGAATGACAGACGGAATGACGGACAGACAACGGACTGCGAACGGATGGTGATTTGAATAGCCTAACATCTGATGATTGTGGGACACATATACTCATTATCAACGTTATTTAAAAAAAAAAAAAACACACACACACATTCAAAATAACGCGAATAACGCTTGTATACGTCTTTACAATGCAGTTTCCCTCAAATATAAATTTAAGTTAATCCCATAAACCAAAACAAATCAAGAAGCCTTGCTTGAATAGCGTATCTCTTATATTTTCTTTGACTAAACAGTGTTAAATGCTGATATAACTTACACATCACAGAAACAAATACACGTGTAGTTAACTCCCCGGCAACATTCCTAGCCGTACATATGTACGTCCCGTGTTCTGATCTGTCCAGTTGTCCCAGTGACAACACATCTGAGGCAGTAAAGATGGGGTTGTCAAGTTTTGTCCAGACAAAGGTACAGCCAGGTCTACAGTCAGCTGTACAGGTGATGTCCGGTAACGTGTCCCTCTCAGTTTTGGTGTAGTAAATGGCCGATGGGGACAGGGTAACAGTACCAGGACCATCTACAATACATTATAAACATTGTGTATTGGACAAGCAAGCCTTCTAACAATGAAGACAATATAAGGTTTATAATTTTTTGGAGCAATTTGCTCTTTTATCAAGACACAGAAAAAAATACACGGAAAAACACAGAACACTTACATTACATATAAACAAAATAGAAATATAATATGTGTGTGCAAACAATAACACAGACATTTTAACATATCGGGAGATTGAAGAGTAAAGAAAGATGCTGAAGCTGGACAAAAATGTCATCGATTTGTCAAGTGAAAGAAAATTCAAAATTCTTGAAATATAATTTATAATAGGTACATATCTGTAAATATCTATTCCTGCGAACTATTTATTGAGATGAGGGTAAGGTATTACAGTGTACAACTAAGTGACAAAAAAAAAGGTCGCACAATGACCCAGGGTAGACTAATATAATATATCACTCTTGTGCGATGTAGACAGAGATATCTCAACCAGAGGGTGAGACTTTTTTTTAGGTGCACCGTACTATCAGCAATGGCGCATTAATTTTGTGTAAAAAAATCCACAACGTAAATAAAAAAATAGCAGTCATAGTTACATTCAGATATTTAATACATTAAATGTAATTGTTGATAGTAATGTTAAATGTTCCTCCAATGATTGTTGTTCCTTGGAATATACTCGGGATTTCACATTCATTGGATTTAGGAACGCTTTCATGTTCGCACAAGGACATGCTGTTGTGCGCTATAGTCACACGTCTAATGTTTGTTGACTGTTCGTTTGACATCGGCCGATGTGAGGTTGGTGCACTAGACCCAGTGTGTCGTCCTATGTCCATGTGTACGGTTTAATTTGAGCGATTGGTCATTGAGAGAAGAGACGACATCCTATGTTTTTGTTTATTGTTGACTGTTCTGTAATTGTTCCAATACATGTGTGTACAAGTAATGATGTAATCGGTTTTGATAAAAGTGCACAGGTTCACAGGTCATGATGAAAGAACTGCGTTGTCTGTGACGTAATAGCGCGTGCCAGCTGTCTTGATCGAGGCAGATCAAATCAGGTTAATATTTTCCCTACCGAAACGGGAATGTACCTGTGAAGTGTGGGAGAAAGTAAGTTGAACTCCAGGCCTAAGTGACGTGACTCTTAACTCTTCTGGTCAGTCACAGTCGTCCAAGTCATGTTCGAGATGGGTTGTTTGCTACAGCATTTCAGCACTCTGCTCTTCAGCAATATTCGATCGTATACATACATGTATATGTTACTTTCTGTGTTCTGTATGCTTGTCATGAGAGATCACTCTCCAAATATGTATGTAATATTATGTATTATATTGATGTATACTTAAATACCGGAATAAAGCTGAATTGAATTGAATTGAATGTTGGTTAGTTTACCTGGCGTAATGCTCACTTTAAGCAGAGCGGCCAGAGCGAGGACAGCTATACCAATACAAATGTATACCTACCCAGCATAGAGATCGAGAGATGTAGCGGGCACTAAAGCCAAAAACAGTAAACGTACGTACCCGTGTATACAATATAAGTGTAATTCATTTAAGTGTCTATTGAATAATATATCTAATCAACGTAATATTTTTGTTTATTAGTAAAGTTAATATTTTGAAAGTCTCTGTACATTTATATTTCGGGCGTGGTCAATTTAGTAGACAAGCAATATCTAAGAAGCAAGTTTTTAATATGTGTGTGTATTGTTTTATTTATATAGTGTGCACTGTTCTGCCCCGGTCACACATTCAGGGAGCGGACACAAGATTAGCCAAGGATACGATCCAGCACCATTCGTGGCAATCTGTACTGGACGGTGCAGTCCGTGTCAAGTGATGTCGTAGTGAAAATCGGAGGTGTTAAATCTGCTTTATTTTGATATTTCCAGACATTTTTTTTTCTTCAGATTTTTACACTTTTGTTAATCCCAAAGTTATGAACACTTTAGACCCTGAATTTTTAACAACCTCATACAAGTTTTAGTAGAGCCAGTTAGTAAGCTGGTGGCTTCTATTTTAACCCAAATTCTGACCGCTGAGGTCCAGCCCAAGTTAGAAAAAGCGCTAACCGACATTGTCAAAACTGACAATTTAATTGGAAAATGTGCGAACAAAAAGGTCGATACAGTAGTAAACGACAAACTCTCTACCATGGAAAGACAAATCATACTCAACGAAAATTAGATTAAGGTGTTACTTGACAAAATTAACCAGCTTCAGACCAGCCGTAACGAGCATGCTGATATCTTAGATGAGCACGAGCAGTATTCCCGGCATACGTGCTTGGAATTAATCAACGTAAATGTTTCTAACGGTCAAGATGCTAACATCTTTGATCCCCTAGATGCCGTGATGGATATATATATAAAAAAAAATATCTGAATCTAAAAGCACAATATAGATCAATTTCACGATGCCATATTCTGGGCCCTATTTCAGAGGGAAATGTTTCGGCTATCGTCCGTTTTCTTCGGTATATTGAACATGAACGAACTCAATAGACTTAGACACGAACAAAAGATAAATTATTTCTGGACACGTGACGGACGGATATTTGCAAAAAAATCTCCAGACGACAGAAAGTTTATGGTATCTACATAGTAATTAACCCTTATTACCTTGAATATAAGTGAAGGTCATACATTTGAACAAACTTGGTAGCCCTTCATCCCAGCATGCTACTGACTTAATATCATCACCCTGGATACTTTGCTTATTCAGAAGTAGTTTTTTTTATATGTTTGACTTCTGTGTTATTGAATATGGGTGAAGGTCATTTATTTAAACAACTTGGTAGCTATTCTTCCCAGCATGCTACAGATCCCGTCACTTGCATAGATATTGTGAATATGGCTATATTTAAAGTATTATAATAACAATACCGAATTTCTCAACAGTTCGAAAATTCGTATTCAATGGGTTTTATAACTATTCTATGCATTTTTGCTACTAAAAATGATTTACTCTTTAATATTTTGTTCCGTTTTCATAAATGCCGGATTAGGGAAATATAGGCAGTTATCCGCCATAGGTCTTTGTGAAAAAGATATTTAATCACGACAACAATAAGATATTGTTCAGGTAGCGTCCCAATTCAGCCGTTTCCAGCCGAATTTGTCCCGATTCTCACGTTCTCAATCCGAATCTGATCCGATTTGTATCTTCTGCATGGTAAAAAACGAGCGAATCTGTCCCGACAGCGTCCCGATTCTCCCGAACGCGATCCGACAGAGATCAGACAGTGACCGAACAGTGAACAGACGCATTCGGCAAGATCTGGACGCAATCTGGACCTAATCGGCAAGAAACGGCAATGAAAAATGTCTCCAAATATTGCGCGTTCATCACTATAGCGTCCCGATCCACAGGACACCATCAAGACACCGTCCAGACAACACAGGATATTGTTACGATTTTGAACCGATACAGCAGAATCTGTCCCGACATTGTCACGATTGTAATCCGTCTAGACAAAATCGGCTGAGTTTCCCGAATGTTACGGGACGCACCTAACTGTCGGGAGTGCTGGCTGACCTCTCTGGATCATTCCCGATCCGTAGGTCTCTGTTACTAACGTATACGACTGCGTTCAGACAATAAAAGGACATTCCAGATCATTGAGGATAGTAATCCGACTTTTTCGCTTTTCGTGTCGTATCGCTGTCTGATCTCAAACGGGAGCCATACTCGGCACTGTGTGAACGCCGCATAACGCAGTTAGCTTGTGACCAGAAGAAGTTTGGTTTCAACAAATTTTATTGTATAACAAAAGGATGAGACAACAGGCAGTGAGTGCCTATATTGATCTTCTCCTGAAGAAGTGAACGGTGTAGGTATGTTTCCACGTTCAGATACACCTTTTTTTCTAAATATTTAGGCATGTGATAATTTTCCTTAATTAAGTGATACATATTTTTTAAATAAATGGAACATTTTATTGATATTCTAATAACATACTTTTTTATTTATCTTCTATGGAATAATGTCAACAAATCCCTGTACGCGTATACAGTACAGCTACGCTTTGTAGTTACAGAACACCATTTTACATTATAATTATGAATTGTTTTACCATCCAATTGGCACTTGCATTTTTATATATTATCTAAATACAAACAAATGATGCCGAAATACAAAATATATGGGAATGTTGCGTCAGAATTAAAAAAGGCAAAACAAAAAAATGACCTGTTATTATCGCAAAGATATTACAGAACATGCTGGAAAATTCATCGTCGAGGAAAGTCTCATTTCTTTTAAATGAAGGAGGACTGCAGCACAAAGTAAGGAACGCAGTACACGTGTAAGACATGCTTTTCGAAAACTATATGTAATTTTACCATTCCAAGGTGTGTGCTTTTTAAAAAAAAACATGTAACGGCATGACGTAGGCAGTAGTAATGAAAATTAAATCCTTTTAAACTTGTTGGTTATGATTATACGATCAATCCGTATTTTTTTAGTAGGTATGTACTAAACAGAATAAAACATGCCTTTTTCAATATCACATCCAGTATCAACCCTCGACCAATATCAGCTGATATTGGAGTCTCGTGTTGATACTGAGTGTGCTATGGAGAAAGGCATGTATTATTCTCTATTTACATATTTGACCCATGTGACATTGAATATGGGTGAAGGTCATTTATTTGAAGCCATGTGAGCTGATTCAAATTAAGTCGTGGAATGAACACGCGAGCGCGAGAGTTTGTATACTGATTACTTACCGTGGCAGGTCCGTGGTGCTCCATGCGAGTTCGTACTAATCCTTGCCTGACCGTTTTAATTCGTGCTAACCCGTACTAAACCATACCGAACCGTTGCAATCCGTATCACTCCCCGTTGTCAACTAACTTAAACCATATCTGTAGTCAAACCGTGGTGCATATTCTGGGGTCATCCGTGAGTTTCCATCCGTAGTGGATCCGGCTAGACGATCCGTGAATGTGAATGTGTGACCGGCGTAGAATCAGTTAAACTGAGGACGCGGCGGACTTTTTTCCGAGAAAACCTTCTTCACATTTTATATATTTGTAATTATGTTGAATAATGAGATAAACTGATATTTTTATAAAATATATAGATTGAATATCACAGTTGCAATGTAGACATATTCAACTATTATAACTAATAATTAATGTGACTGGCTACGACTAGGGATATGATTGGCATGTTTTATCTCATCGTGTGAGTGTATGAATGTTTGTATCATTATGTATAGTTATATGATGTCTTTCATGTTACAGGGTTTTATAAGTAATTGACCAGTAAACAACGAACCCGGGAGTTGTCGTATATCAAGAGTAAAGACGACTTTTACATCAAAATAAAATAAATGAGTTTCTTATTAATTCCTAAGTACTTTCACATCTTTACAGGGGATTTGGTTATTCAAGTTGACAGAACAACAACACGACCTAGAAAATGATGACGTCATAATAAATTATGACGTCATAATACTTCATATTACACCAAAACAAGCAATACACTTTGATGTCAACGTTTGCGGAAATACTAATTTGCAGTTACAACAGTTGGTATTTCGTTACAGACATGAGTATAGCAACATACTTTTCGAATGAATTTGTATTATGTATTCATGTGTAAAAGGGAGAGTAGAGTGATTCGACCGGGGATCGAACCTGCGATCCAATACTTCCTAGTCGGACGTTCTACCACTGAGCTAAAGGGAAGTTCCCCATAGCTCGAAGCTAGCAGTTGACAATTAAAATATGACATTCATAAAACAATATGAGCGGATTTTGATATATACTATTGATTCTCCTATCATCTTTATACAAATTTCATCGGGATTTATCTTTTGCACTAAAAGGATATATTTTAATATTGACAGTTAAAATCTGAGATTGTCACTTTTTGACACAACGAATTTAAAGTTCAAAACAACTGTCACAGATCATTGTATAAACAATATCCAACTCAAACATGTATAGCCATTCTGAAGTCAAACTATTATAGATGGATTCTTTTTTACAAACACAAACATGGTAAACTTACCGACCACGTTAAGTGTGTAGTCAGGACTGGTTACAACAGCGCCAAGTAGCCTTGCGTTGGTACGTTGACAATACCACACAGATCCATGGTCTCCTGTCTGTGGCTGTATGACCCACTGGAACACTGTACCATAGAGAGTCGAGGTGGTAGTACAGGAACAGACATCCGGGCTACAGAGGACATGAGTAGTAGTAGTAGTAGTGTTGTGGCACTGACCACCACTTACTTGTATACTACCTTGTATAGCAGTCAGGTCAGGGCGGCGGTACAACTGGACTTGGCTTGCTTCCTCTGGTACGTCACACTTCAGTGTAAACTCACTCCCGGGGATAGTGTACTCAGACGACCCGGTCAGTGTTACAGCATCTGTGTTACAAGGTAGTTTATAATGAAAAAAGGGACGTATTACAGACAAGATTTACCCTAGAGTTAAAAGGATCCATCGCATCATATCGTTTCCTCCCTTGGGTATAGGATCGAATCATTTTGGTTGACTGTATAGCGATACATTATAAAATTACTGAACTTAACACTAATTTCTTCACTAAAAAGTGTACATACTATTTTCAATTTCTTAAGTAAATATGTAGTCAACTGTGCAGTCATACCCAAAAGTTCTAAACTCCTATACAAATATATTTTCATAATATTAACCTTTTAAGACTATGACAAAACCCTGTAAAATCCTGCACTTACTCATTATGAAGTTGATTTTTTCAAGCAGAAACGTGTATCATGATACGTATCGTATCGTAGGCATCGTACCGCATTACGTATCGTATTGTGAGATGTACCTGTACGTATATATACGTATTCGTTAAATCATAGTATGATGCATACTTTCATGAACCCGCAAGTTATCTTGACTGTTGTCACCACATAGATTACTTCGCATAAAGTGGTTTAAGGTATGGGGTCAATGACCTTTACAACAATCATTATTTGCATATTTGTTAAGTTGTTCATTTATTGGTTTTACAAAAACTTAAGATTAAATTTGTGTGGTGTTTGGGTTCTTTTACAAAAGACGACAAGTACTAAATGCCTTCATTTCAGTGGGTAATTTATTTCTCCTATATGTGGTACCGGTGATCAACTGGTATTCTCATGATGGAAGGTTATATTTCTGTATGTAATCTGGGAGTATGTCGATGTTGCCTATAGGTTAAATGATTAAAAACGTAAGGATAAAGAAGCGAAGAAAACATTAACGCGGGAAATATCACGCAATGCGACAGGTGTCAGAGGTCAGTTTGTCACTGGTCAAACAGGTATACAATAGCATACACAATTATGCCACACTCACATTCATTCCAATCAAAACGAAAGTAACATACGAGACTAGGCGACAGCGATTGCGGATGCGGAGCTCGGATTACAAATACAAAGCTACGACACAACATTATACAAAGTAATGCTGATTAGACTCAATATAGTTTAACTGATTCTTATGAAAATAAAGAATTGAAATAAATTGACAAATGTAGAAGGGTGCCACGTTTGTTTCCGTCTGATACTTACATACATAAAAATGCATACATGGAAAGAACAAAATCAAACAAACAGTATATTTTTGAAAATGCATATCTTTTCGGCTGGCTGGAAAACAAATGTACGGTGTATCAGTGTACAGTGTATCAGTGTACGGTGTATCAGTGTACAGTGTATCAGTTTATCACATGCCTATGCAATCTTACGATAGTAATACATCATTTTGTCAGATGTGCTTCCTGTCTGCTTGTATCACACATGTGCGATACAAGATCCTGTATCACCACAGTAGCCGGAACTACTTTTTGGGGGAATTCCCTCTACTGACACCGCTAAAATCTAGCCACTGGTATATTTTCCGTAGCAACTATCACAGGTGGAACATTCAACATAAACTTCCAAATATCGTCACAGTCGCGTACAACATTCACATTCATCAACTCCAACGAAATACCGACCAATTGTTGACTCAGATGATGAAGATTTTATCTAGATTTCTTGTGTTTTCTGACCTTGGCGCGTGCTGTGACGTTGCGAGACTTTGTGAGAATTTATAATGATCGATATTTAAACTTATATGAATACACGAAACGTTATGCCATTAAATGTGTTGCATTTGAATTATTCTTTGTTATTTTGTATTTAACCATTAATATTTAAAATGTTGTACACCCAAAGGTACAGTTCAGTCTCAAAACGGCTCTTATCATTCACAGGTCCTGTGAACCATGCAATGACTTTTTTTAAAGCCATGTAGTGATTTATTTTGTTTTCTATATCTCAGAATTATAAAAAAAAAAAAAAACTTTAATTATACAAGAATGTATTAAATAAAAATGAAAAATGCATTATCATAAAAAACACCAAGAAAATGCTTTTTTTAATAAAACACAAGTTTCTTATAAAAAAAATCCTGGCATTGCGTCGACCTGTGTGCCGATGGAAAACGACAAAAAGAGGAAAAACATAAATCTGCATTTAGTCATATCAGATAAAATTCCCAATTACCATGGCTACAATAGGGTTAAGTCATGTGATAAAAGCAAAACCACTCATATGTGTTGTTTTGCCTATGTATCAATGTACAGTGTATATGTCATAGACTCGTATGCGTGTGAAGCGCACTCGTGATATATTACTCCGCCACCACAAACTAATGCTATCCGAGTACTCAGATCAACACATATGTGTTGTTTTGACTATGTATCAGTGTAAGTGTATCAGTGTAAGTGTATCAGTGTAAGTGTACCAGTAGTGTATCAGTGTATCAGTGTATCAGTAGTGTATCAGTGTACAGTGTATATGTGTACAGTATATCAGTGTACAGTGTATCAGTGTACAGTATATCAGTGTACAGTGTATCAGTGTACATTACATCAGTAGTGTGTCAGTGTAAGTGTATCAGTGTAAGTGTATCAGTAGTGTATCAGTGTACAGTGTATCAGTAGTGTATCAGTATACAGTGTATCAGTGTGCAGTGTATCAGTACACGGTGTATCAGTAGTTTATCAGTGTAGAGTATATCAGTGTACAGTATATCAGTGTACAGTGTATCAGTATACAGTGTGTCAGTGTATAGTATATCAGTGTACAGTGTATCAGTGTACAGTGTATCAGTAGTGTATCAGTGTACATTGTATCAGTGTACAGTGTATCATTAGTGTATCAGTGCACAGCATATCAGTGTACAGTGTATCAGTAGTGTATCAGTGTACAGTGTATCAGTGTGCATTACATCACTAGTGTGTCAGTGTAAGTGTATCAGTAGTGTATCAGTGTACAGTGTATCAGTGTATAGTGTATCAGTAATGTATCAGTATACAGTGTATCAGTGTGCAGTGTATCAGTGCAAAGTGTATCAGTAGTTTATCAGTGTAGAGTATATCAGTGTAGAGTATATCAGTGTACAGTGTATCAGTGTACAGTGTATCAGTGTACAGTGTATCATTATTGTATCAGTGTACAGTGTAGCATTAGTGTATCAGTGTACAATGCATTATTGTACAGTGTATCAGTGTGCAGTGTATCAGTGTACAGTGTATCAATAGTGTATCAGTGTACATTGAATCAGTGCATATTGTATCAGTAGTGTATCAGTATACAGTATGTCAGTGTATAGTGTATCAGTGTATATTGTATCAGTGTACAGTGTATTAGTAGTGTATCAGTGTACATTGTATCAATGTACAGTGTATCAGTAGTGTATCAGTGTACAGTGTATCATTGTACAGTGTATCATTGTATAGTGTATCAGTAGTGTATTAGTATACAGTGTATCAGTGTGCAGTGTATCAGTGTACAGTGTATAAGTAGTGTATCAGTGTACAGTGTATCAGTGTACATTGTATCAGTAGTGTATCAGTGTAAGTGTATCATTGCACAGTGTATCAGTGGTGTATCAGTGTACAGTGTATCAGTGTACAGTGTATCAGTGTGCAGTGTATCAGTAGTGTATCAGTAGTGCATCAGTAGTGTATCAGTGTAAGTGTATACGGGTACATTGTATCAGTGTATCAGTTTACAGTGTATCAGTGTACAGTGTATTAGTGTACAGTGTATCAGTACTGTATCAATATACAGTGTATCAGTGTTCAGTGTATCAGTAGTGTATCAGTGTACAGTGTATCAGTGTATAGCGTATCAGTAGTGTATCAGTATACAGTGTATGATTGTTCAGTGTATCAGTAGTGTATCAGTGTAAGTATATCAGTGTAAGTGTATCAGTGTACAATGTATCAGTAGTATCAGTGTACAGTGTATCAGTAGTGTATCAGTGTACATTGAATCAGTGCATATTGTATCAGTAGTGTATCAGTATACAGTGTATGATTGTTCAGTGTATCAGTAGTGTATCAGTGTAAGTATATCAGTGTAAGTGTATCAGTGTACAATGTATCAGTAATATCAGTGTACAGTGTATCAGTAGTGTATCAGTGTACATTGAATCAGTGTATAGTGTATCAGTATATAGTGTATCAGTGTACAGTGTATTAGTAGTGTATCAGTGTACATTGTATCAGTGTATAGTGTATCAGTAGTGTATCAGTGTACAGTGTATCAGTAGTGTATCAGTGTACAGTGTATCATTGTACAGTGTATCAGTGTATAGTGTATCAGTGTACATTGTATCAGTAGTGTATCAGAAGTGCATCAGTAGTGTATCAGTGTAAGTGTATACGGGTACATTGTATCAGTGTACAGTGTATCAGTGTACAGTGTATTAGTGTAAGTGTACCAGTAGTGTATCAGTGTATCAGAAGTGTATCAGTGTACAGTGTATCAGTGTACATTACATCACTAGTGTGTCAGTATAAGTGTATCAGTAGTGTATCAGTGTACAGTGTATCAGTGTATAGTGTATCAGTAATGTATCAATATACAGTGTATCCGTGTTCAGTATATCAGTAGTGTATCATTCTATACTGTATCATTGTGCAGTGTATCAGTGTACATTGTATCAGTAGTGTATCAGTGTAAGTATATCAGTGTTAGTGTATCAGTGTAAGGTGTATGAATAGTGTATCAGTGTACAGTGTATCAGTGTAAGTGTATCAGTGTAAGTGTACCAGTAGTGTATCAGTGTATCAGAAGTGTATCAGTGTACAGTGTATCAGTGTACATTACATCACTAGTGTGTCAGTATAAGTGTATCAGTAGTGTATCAGTGTACAGTGTATCAGTGTATAGTGTATCAGTAATGTATCAGTATACAGTGTATCAGTGTGCAGTGTATCAGTGCAAAGTGTATCAGTAGTTTATCAGTGTAGAGTATATCAGTGTACAGTGTATCATTGTACAGTGTATCAGTGTACAGTGTATCGGTGTACAGTGTATCATTAGTGTATCAGTGTACAGTGTAGCATTAGTGTATCAGT